GTATCTTCAACATCTCCTACAGCCAGTGTCACACCTGTCACAGTATCTTCCGAGGCTGGTGTAACTTCAACCACATCCACTGACGGCCCCACCTCTGTGACCTGGTCGACAGGGACTAGTGCATCTTCAACAACTCCTAGTGACAGTACAACTGCTGGGCCAGTATCCACACTACCTGCAGTATCTTCAACAACTCCTAGTGACAGCATTACCTCTGTGACAGTCTCTGCAGGGACTAGTGCATCTTCAACAACTCCTAGTGACAGTACAACTGCTGGGCCAGTATCCACACTACCTGCAGTATCTTCAACAACTCCTAGTGACAGCATTACCTCTGTGACAGTCTCTGCAGGGACTAGTGCATCTTCAACAACTCCTAGTGACAGTACAACTGCTGGGCCAGTATCCACACTACCTGCAGTATCTTCAACAACTCCTAGTGACAGCATTACCTCTGTGACAGTCTCTGCAGGGACTAGTGCATCTTCAACAACTCCTAGTGACAGTACAACTGCTGGGCCAGTATCCACACTACCTGCAGTATCTTCAACAACTCCTAGTGACAGCATTACCTCTGTGACAGTCTCTGCAGGGACTAGTGCATCTTCAACAACTCCTAGTGACAGTACAACTGCTGGGCCAGTATCCACACTACCTGCAGTATCTTCAACAACTCCTAGTGACAGCATTACCTCTGTGACAGTCTCTGCAGGGACTAGTGCATCTTCAACAACTCCTAGTGACAGTACAACTGCTGGGCCAGTATCCACACTACCTGCAGTATCTTCAACAACTCCTAGTGACAGCATTACCTCTGTGACAGTCTCTGCAGGGACTAGTGCATCTTCAACAACTCCTAGTGACAGTACAACTGCTGGGCCAGTATCCACACTACCTGCAGTATCTTCAACAACTCCTAGTGACAGCATTACCTCTGTGACAGTCTCTGCAGGGACTAGTGCATCTTCAACAACTCCTAGTGACAGTACAACTGCTGGGCCAGTATCCACACTACCTGCAGTATCTTCAACAACTCCTAGTGACAGCATTACCTCTGTGACAGTCTCTGCAGGGACTAGTGCATCTTCAACAACTCCTAGTGACAGTACAACTGCTGGGCCAGTATCCACACTACCTGCAGTATCTTCAACAACTCCTAGTGACAGCATTACCTCTGTGACAGTCTCTGCAGGGACTAGTGCATCTTCAACAACTCCTAGTGACAGTACAACTGCTGGGCCAGTATCCACACTACCTGCAGTATCTTCAACAACTCCTAGTGACAGCATTACCTCTGTGACAGTCTCTGCAGGGACTAGTGCATCTTCAACAACTCCTAGTGACAGTACAACTGCTGGGCCAGTATCCACACTACCTGCAGTATCTTCAACAACTCCTAGTGACAGCATTACCTCTGTGACAGTATCTGCAGGGACTAGTGCATCTTCAACAACTCCTAGTGACAGTACAACTGCTGGGCCAGTATCCACACTACCTGCAGTATCTTCAACAACTCCTAGTGACAGCATTACCTCTGTGACAGTCTCTGCAGGGACTAGTGCATCTTCAACAACTCCTAGTGACAACACCTCTTCTTTTACCCCTTCTACAGAAGGTAGCACATCTTCCAAAATATCTAGTGCAACTATCCACCCTGTGACTTCCACAGCAGAGGCTACTTCATCTTCCACAATACCTTCTGAGGGCACCACTGCTCTGACAACCTCTACAGAGGCTGCTGTATCTTCAACATCTCCTACAGCCAGTGTCACACCTGTCACAGTATCTTCCGAGGCTGGTGTAACTTCAACCACATCCACTGACGGCCCCACCTCTGTGACCTGGTCGACAGGGACTAGTGCATCTTCAACAACTCCTAGTGACAGTACAACTGCTGTGCCAGTATCCACACTACCTGCAGTATCTTCAACAACTCCTAGTGACAGCATTACCTCTGTGACAGTCTCTGCAGGGACTAGTGCATCTTCAACAACTCCTAGTGACAGTACAACTGCTGTGCCAGTATCCACACTACCTGGAGTATCGTCAACAACTCCTAGTGACAGCATTACCTCTGTGACAGTATCTGCAGGGACTAGTGCATCTTCTACAACTTCTAGGGACAGCACCTCTTCTTTCCCCACTTCTACACAGGGTAGCACATCTCAAAAGACTTCTAGTGAAACCCACACCCTTGTGACATCCACAACAGAGTTTACTTCTTTCTCAATAATACCTTCTGGGGGCACAACTCCTCTGACAACCTCTGCGGAAGCTGCTGTATCTTCCACATCTTCTACAGACAGTGACAAACTTGTGACAGTATCTACAGAGGGTGATGTATCCTCAACAATTCTCACTGAAAGTGTCACCTCTATGAAGTGGTCAACAGAAACTAGTGCATCTTCCACAACTTCTAGTGACAGCACCTCTTCTCTTACCACTTCTGCAGAAGGCAGCACATCTTCAAATATATCTAGTGAAACCATCACCCCTGTGACATCCACAACAGAGGCTACTTCATCTTTGCCAATTGCTTCTGAGGGCACTACTTCTCTGACAACCTCTACAGAGTTTGCTGTATCTTCCTTACCTGCTACAGAGAGTGTCACACCTGTGACAGTATCTACCAAAGCTGTTGTATCTTCCTCAGCTTTCACTAGCAGGCCCACTTCTGTGACAGTGTTGACAGGGGCTAGTTCATCTTCAACAACTTCTAGTGATAGCACAACTGCTGTGACAGTATCTGTCGAGCCTGGTGTATCTTCAACAACTCCTAGTGACACCAGAACTTCTGTGATAACTCTTACAGAGGCTAGTGGATCTTCAACTACTCTTGGTGATAGCTCCTCCTCTGTGACAATCCCTACCGAGGTTAGTTCATCTTCAACAAGTCCCACTGACACCAGCATGCCTTTGACCACCTCTGTTGAAGCTAACTCTTATCTTACGACTATGGAAGGTACCACCATATCTGTCTCAATTCCTACAGGAGGCAGTTCTGGAACAACTATTTCTGAAAATACCACGCCTGTGTCTGTTCCTACTACATCTGACACTCCCTCAATAACTTCCCCCGGCTTTATTCCTGTGACAATTTTCACTGAATCAAATACACCCACAACAACTATAAGTGGTGCCACCACATCTGTTTCAACTCCTATGGAGGTCAGCACGACTACAACTATTGCTGACACCCCCACAACTGTCACCATGTCTGCTGTACCCAGCACATCTGCCACAGCTCTTAGCGATTCCACCACTTCTGCCTCAATTCCTATTCAGCCCAGTACACCTGCCACATCTCCTTTTGCCACCACCTCTCCTGTGACCAGTCCCTCAGAAGCCAGCACATTTTCAACGATTGCTTCTGACACTACTTTACCTATATCTACTCCTGGCCACTCCAGTCCTGCAACAACTTCTTCTTCCTCCACTTCTGTGACCTCTAAGGTTGTCACCACCACAACTCTCTCCACCTCAACAGCTGGAGTGAAACCTAGCACGCAAAGTGCTACCTCCATCCCAGACTCCACTAGCTTGTCTACTGTTACAACGAAGAGCACCTCTACCCCAACTCTTAGTGCTTCACCAACCACACCAGGTGAGTAATTCCTTGAATGCACCCTTTTTGAAACTCTTTTTTGAAACATTTCTTTTCAATTTCCCCACTTTGTGGTTTTCTTCTTAAACGTTTACTCATTATTCACTTCTTTTGCTCTCACTTATTTTCCATCAGGTAAAAGCCTCTGTAGTTCTTATCACTCTATCACTTGCTTCGCTGCATGTCTTGCTGTTTCTTGCAGTAAATCCTACTCTTTTATACAACACAATTTACCTCTCTTTGCCTGGACACCTTTAATCCCCAGTAAAGTGTTTGCACATCCGTTTCTTCCCTTTTGTATTCTGCTAGTGTCTACCCCATTGCATTTTATATACTCTAATCTCATTAACTTTGTATCTTTCACTTGCATTTTTATATCTTTTTAGAGAGGTTTCCCTCGTTGATTTTGCACACGCTTAAGTGTAAAGTTTTGTTTTGTTTTGTTTTGTTTTGTTTTCAGGAGGGTATTGCCAATAGAAGCCACATATTCCCTTGGCAACTGTCATTTTTATTTTGTTTTACTTTATTCTCTGCACATCCACTATAGAAGCAAAAGGAAATTCACTTTTATCGACTCTGAACTCCACCTCCACGTCCTTGAAGGTTTCCGTCTCTTCTCTGATTCTAGAATTTCACTCAGCTGTCTTCACTGTGGTTAGAATGGTACCTGCCCCACTCCATACCTACTATTATAATATACTGTTACTATATTACATATAATATAGGGTCTGTATTTTATGATATATCATTATACCTGTCAGTATTATTCTCAAATTGAGAAAGGATATTTGGCATGCATTTAAAAAAGTACAACAGGTTCTGGAATAATATTTTGTTAAACATCATTTCATTATAATGTTGATGAATTGCTATAGAAACTTAACTCTTGTTTACGTCAATCAGCTTATAGTAAAGTTGGTTTCATTATACATCATTTTGCTTAAAGTCATAGAACCTATTGACGATGTTAAGTGAGGACTTACTGTATACTAGCTAAAATACTTGAAAACTTCCCTGATTTAAAAGAACTATAGATATGCTCACAGACATATGACCTGTGTCCACCTAGGGCATTGCCAGATCCTGTCTTGAATTGAAAGATGAAAGGCAGTTCTTCAGTTTTTGGCTGCTACATTTTCTTAAGGCTTTGTGAATTCTTCTTCTGTTGAGTTCTGCTTTGCCTGGCCTTTCTATTATGTGGCTTTGTTCTCTAGTTTCTCTCCAATGTGTTTTTGTCTTGGTAAGTTCTCTCTGGTTCTCAGGCAGAGAGCTGAGCATCTTCAGAAGGGAGGTCTGGACTTTGTGTTCCCAGGAAGCCTCACAGGGTGTCTTACTGCAAATGTCAGGTGGCTACATGACTGCTGAGCCCACAGATGGTGTTGGTCACCTCCTTGAAAGAAGATGGTCCCCTTCTATCTTCCTGTTATCCCTGGAGGTTGGCCTTCCCTTTAGACTATTGGGCAATAGGTGAACACACCTCAGAAGCTGCTTTTGCTGTTGCTCGGAAGCCTGGACTTGGGCACTTAGATCAGGTTTGAACATTCTTCAGTAATATGTCAGAGAGAGAGAAAGAGAGAGAGAGAGAGAGAGAGAGAGAGAGAGAGACAGAGAGACAGAGAGAGCCAGAGAGACACAGAGAGAGAGAGAGAGAGAGAGAGAGAGATTTATGGGTCTCCAGTGTGCCCAGAACTCTTGTGTCATCCTTTCATTCTTCCCAAATGTCTTGGACAAAAGGCCTGTAAACAGAGACTGTGTGATGTGACTGTCATGGCCATGGCCCCTACTCTCTGAGTCTAGGGGGTTAGACCAGAAGGCAGAGGTGGGACAGGTCTTTAGTGTATATGCACACCTCATGTGTCTCCCTAGTGTATATGCACACCTCATGTGTCTCCCTAGATGAATCACACCTTGAATACTGGTCTGCACAGGCACAGCTCTTTTCACGAAAAGCCAAAGAGAATGGAGCTTTTGATTTTCCAAACTGGCTGGCATAGATATCCAAGAGTTGTCTATAACCACTTCTTATCTATTTAAACTAAGTCTACATGCATCCCTCAAACTCCTTGCCCCAGCAAATAAAAAAGGAATCATGAGCAGTCACAATGGCAACAATTTCCAGGACAAGCTCTTCTGACGCAGGCTTTGAAGGAACAATTAAATGCTTATTCTCAAGTTTGGCGGATGCCAGATTGTTCAAGTCCCCCTGAGTTCTCTGTCTCTGTCTCCCTTTTTCTCATCATCAGCCCTAACAGTGTTGCCCCAACCTCTCACAACACCAAGTTTCTCTTTCCTTGCTTTTTGGGGCTAAAGTAAATCATGCTGGAAATAGAACCCACAGCCAGGTCAAGTCTGCTTCCACATGGAAACTTGGACAAGTCTTTTAGCCTCTCTCCACCTCATTTCTCCCATCTGTAAAGTAGGGATGATACCAATTGTCCTGCTCACCCCAAGGTCTCATGAGAATATAAAATTAGACTATGTCTGTGAAAATGTTGCAAACTATAAAGTGCTGTGCAAATACATGTGGTTGAGTGGGGCCTTGTCCCTTTCAGTGACCTGCGACAATGAAGGGAAATGGAATGGAAAAACCTGTGAATGCCTCCCTGGCTTTGGAGGAGATCGGTGCCAGCACAAAGTCCCAGTCTGCCAGAACGGAGGCTCCTGGGATGGGATCAAGTGTGTGTGCACCAACCTCTACCAGGGGCTGAATTGCGAGGAAGTGGTTTCGAGCATTCAGCTGAGTAAGTAAGACTGCATGGCCCTCCCTTCCCAACACCTGGGCCCAGTCCATGTTGG